TACAGGCGGGCCAGATTAGTAGGTCGACCCTGCCAGATCAAGGGTACCGTCGTGTCCTGTGTCTCGCGACCCATGCCTCCTGCATTTCTGTGGCGGCGTGGCCCTTGGAAGGGTCTCGTGTCCTCTCGCGTGTCCTCTCCAACCAGGTCCGGCTGTAGTTTCTCTCGTGCTCCGTTCTTCCCTTCTCTCGTGCTCCTTCCCCCCCTTCGTGCTCTCTCTCTCTCTCTCTCTCTCTGCTAAGTTCCCCCCCCTCCTGCAAATTCCCCTCGTATCCTCCTCGCGTGCCCTCTCCGATCAAGCCCGGCTGCATGGGGCCTCCTTTCGGATGCCCGGAGGATCGGATGTGTTCATTTCGTGCTCTCTCTCTCTCTCTCTCTCTCTCTCTTTCTCTCTGCTAATTTCCCCCCCCCTCCGGCAAATTCCTCTCGAGGCTCCCGCTCGAGCGTCGGCTTGAGTACAAAAATTTGGGCCCTTGGAGGCCCGGCTACGACGGCAGCGGCTCCCGCTCGACACTTGCTCGCACTTTGCCCCGAGACGCCCTGGCCGGGAAGGCCCCCGAGCTCAGGAACGGCGCTCTCGCTCGAGACGTTCTCGCGAGTCTGTCAAATTGGTGGAGGCCCAATTACGACGACAAGGGCTCCCATCTCCATACTTAATCGAGACGAGAGAGGCACTCTCGCTCGAAACTTTCTCGTAATTGAAGCAAGTTGGTGGAGGCCCACACACGGCGACAAGGGCTCCCGTTCGATATGTAACCATATGTGTCTATATATATATATACATATATGTACATATATGTACATATATGTATTCCGATTGCCCCTGGCCAGAGAGGTCCTTGAACTCAGGAATGGCGTTATCGCTCGAGTTCCTCACACTTCAGTCAGTGGCCGACGAAGAAGAGATTCCTCTCGAAAGGGGGTGCAATCGACGACGAAATGGGCGGGTATCGAGGGTTGGGATATAAAGAAGGCAAGACACGCGTGCCAGTAAGAGCGAACGGTCTTAAAATGATTGTAGTCGTTGCGGGTGTTGTGGTTGTTGTTGTTGTTGATTATGGTGGTGTTTTTGTTGTTGTTGGTGGTGGTGTTGTTGCTGCTGTTGCTGTTGGGGGGAAGCGGGCAGGGAGAGCGGGAGGGAGGGCGACGGGATGGGCAAGGCGGGGGGGTGCGGATGGGGGGGAGGGGAAGAGGTGGGGGGGGAGGCGAAAGATGGGTTGCGAAGGGGGCGAGGGGGAAAGGACGAAGAGGAAGACAGGCGGGAGGGGAATGGGCAGCGAGGAGTTGATCGAGGGGGAGGTATTAGATGAAAGGCAGGCAAGGCGGGCGAAGAACGGTCAGACGTACGGCGCATTGCAGACTGTTTCCACCGCACCACATGCAGTGCCCGTGAGGTAGGGGTAAGTTCCAAGGACGATTCGGCAATCAAACAAGCACACCAAATTTTCAATCTGCAAAAACGCGCACCTAGGAGCGCCCGAGGCTGCCACTGAGTTGAGGGCCTGTGGCCACAGGCGGGCCGCGGGCACCGACAGGGTAAAGTTCGGCCGCGGCTGATCTGGCGGAGACTCGTTCGCCGAGGCTGTCAGACGAAGCGGCCAAGAGGCACCGTTCGGGCCAAAAGCGCGCCCAGCAGATGATCCACACGTTTCTGCCACGCGGACGAGATTCACCCGATGATAACAGCATGGAAAGAGTCTGGACGAGTGCTCGTGGTTCAGGTTGATAAGGATGTTCAGCACATGTCGGCTGTTGGTGCCGATGCCCCGCCCGTTGTTGTCCAGTCGTGCGCGTTTGAAGACTTCGTTATCGCGGTGATTTGTTTGTGCTGCGCGCCCATATGGCATCTGAGCCGGCACGATGCACTCCTGTGGGGGGCAGCCCAATCAAAACACAAAGCATAACAATTGCGGTGGCTCCTACTTCTGGAAGAATTTGACGAGAGCTATGCCAAGCAGGTGCTGCAGCAAGTTGGGGTACCTCGCACTCCACCGAAAATCATTTCGTATCATGCTGCCGAATCTGACAAGTACCCAGGTCACGCGGCACGTGGAGCAGTAAACAAATGGCGTCTAGGAGGCTTGAATAGGACTGCGTAAGAGGGAGGAAAGTTGAATAGTAGGGCGGAGGACGGGGTCGAGGAAGAGGAGGGAGCGAGGAGGAGCAGCAGTAAGAGCGAGGAGGAGAAGCAATGGAGGAGGCGGAGGAGTAGGAGGAGAGATGGAGGAGGAGGAGGAGGAGGAGGAGGAGGAGGACCAGTATAAACCAAAGAGTCATCAACGATGTTGGAATCAACCCTCCCTCCAAGCTCCCTCCTCACAGGCCCCTGCAACGGTTCATTTCCATTGAGGGAACTGCCTCGTTGGAAGACACCCTTGAAGACCATGAAGCATGCCATAACAGTGTTCGCGGGATTTCAACGCCACGGATCAACCTGATTGCTGCGTCTTTACGATCTGGAATCGTGCCAGAACGACATGTTTGGGATTTCAACACCGCGAATCAACATAACTGTTTCACCCGCATAATCTTGAATCCCTCCAAAACACAGTTTTTGGTACGCTGCTCATGGGAATCCGTGAAACTCTTCCAAATGTTATGGACGAATGTGCGCGGCGCTAAGACGAGAGCCACATGTTGAAAAGGAACCGCCCTCCGCCCTCCATCTGTGAAGCCATTGCCACTTTTTCAGCTTCAGAGTCATACGCGGTGAGGAAGTCTCAGGCGACACGCCCGGCCTGCCCGAAAAGTTGGCCTCGGGGTGTGCGACAGCGAGAAGCTATGTATACGTTTACGGAAGATGTGTGGGCGTCGGGGGGGTAGCGTGTCATTTCGGCCGCTTTCGCTTGCATGGCAGCTGTTCTGGCTGGTCTTGCGCCCCCCAGGGAGGGCAGATCCGCTCCCGAGGACCACCGTGCCGCGCCCGCCGCCCGTGTGCCTCTGCGGCTGGTGCGCTGGGCCCCTCGGCCAAGGGGAGTCGCTGGCCCTGGCCGAAGGCGGAGCCCTCCTGGAGGTCTGCGAGCTGGGCTACGTCATCGGGCTGACCCAGCAGGCGGGGTGGCACGCCCGCCTCGGCGTGGAGGAGAGGGCGGTGCTGCTCGTGCCCGCCCGGGTCTCGGACGCGCTGCTCTTCGCGCTCGCCGGCCTGGGGGGTCGAGATCGTCAAAGGCGAGGGCCGTCGCCAGGGGCAGGGCCGAGGCTAAGGCTAAGGCGAAAGTCCTGGGGCCGTGCGCGCGGCCGCAGCCGAGGGCGCGGCGCCGGCGGCCTCGGGCGAGGAGCCGCGGAGAGAGGCGGAGGCGCCGTCGCCTTCCCGCGGGTGCTCCGGCCTGGCGGCGGCTGCGGCGGTCGGCGGTGCTACGGCGGCCGCGCCCGCGGCGAGGGCGCTGGCGCATCTGCGGCGCCTGGCCTGACGGCGCTGCCCGGCCTGCCCGACCTCGGAGGCGGCGCGGGTGCTGAGGCGCCCCCGGGTGGCGGCGCCGTGCCTGGGGCGGAGGCTTCCCCTCGGCGACGTGGGCTCTGCGCTGGTGGGGGCACTCGTGGACGGCGGCGTCGGCCTCCCCCCCCTGGTGGCCCTCCTCCACGTGCGGCACCTGGGGGCCGACGATCCATGGACTGCCGATCGCGGTGGCAGGCGAGCCGGACGCCCCCCACGGCCAGCGCGCGGCTGGGACTCTCGTGGGCGGTCCGTGGCGGCAGCCCGTGGCCCTGCCTGGTGCCGCCTGGCACCGAGGTGCGAATCTCGTGCTCCTGACCTTGGTTGCAGCTGGGGGCATCAGCGGGACTGCCTCGTTCGAGGTAAGAGGAGATCGGGGCCACGGGCGCTCTGAGCAGTACGATGCGCCCAGTTCAGGAGAGCGTCGCTGGCGGTCGAGGCGAAGCAGCTGGATGGCCTGTCCCCGCCGCGCGGCGCTGGGCCTGCAGCCTCCTGCGCTCGCGCGGGCAGGGACCGGCACTGTGCGGGGAGCCCGCCGAGCCTGGCCGAGGAGTCCCGCACGTCGAGTGGCTGCGGCTGCGCTTGAACCGCGCGTTCGTGGAGCCATGGGTGCGCCCGAGCATCTTCGGCGGGCCCGGCGGCGGCGTGGCCTTGGCAGGGGGCGCCCCCCTCGGAGGCCCGACCTCCGTCCGCCTGGCGGGTGCTGCCGCGGCGCGCACGCAGGGTGCAGCGACGACGCCCGGCGGCGCCGCTGGCGGCCGCGGTCGACGCTGCCCCCGGGGCGCCCCAGGCTCGCACAGGGACGACGACGGAGAGTCGCGTCTTGGCGAGGCCCCCCTCCTGCGTCGGCAGCGTACGGCTGCTGGTGGCGAAGCGCCCAAGTGCCCTTCACGACGAGGCGATGATGAAGAACATCAGCCGCGGCAGGGGTCTGCAGGAAGAGGGGCGGGCCGCTCAGAGGCTCGTGCGAAGGTCATGGGATACTTGCGGGTCGTGGTGTTCGGCCATCACCCTCCAGGGCATATGCTAAACAACACTCAGCGTGTGCTGCAGGCGCTGGCGACCGTGCTGGACTCGCTGGAGGACGGATGCCTGGCGGAGTTGTGCGACGTGCTCTGCGGAGGTTCGAGGTTCTGGAGCTGTCCCTGGCCGACGCGCACTGGCGGATGGCGAGCGAGCTGGGGTCGTGCCGGACGCGCGGCTCTTCTTGGCCTCGATGGGCGAGCAGGGCCTGGCGCGGCACGTGGCGATGCTGCGCAGGAGGCTGCTGGACGCCAAGAGCTGCGGCAAGCTCGGTGGCAGGGGCCAGGGCGAGCGTCAAGCCCGACCCGAGGAGGCGGGCGCGGAAGCGGCAGAGCCGACTCGCCCTCGCCGAGCCACCAGCAGAGCCGCGGTCGCGGCAGGAGCAGCGGGCGCGGCCGTGGCCGCTTCTTCCCCTGCGGGCGGTTGGCCCAGCTGGGCCTTGGGCAGGGCCCCAGGCGCAGCCCCGCCCGCGGGCCGCCCAGGCGCAGCGCGCTCAGGCAGCGCGGGCAGGCCGCCATCTCTGGGCTCGCTGAGGACGCCTCGAGGCGCCAGCCCGCACCTGAGGGTGGCGCACGAGCCGAGGCGCGTCTCTCTGGCGGCGAGCTCGGAGCGCCACGTCTTCGGGCAGGACTGGCCCGCGGCTGCGGCGGCAGCGGGCCCGCGGCAAGGTCCGCTAGGAGGCCAGGCCCCCCCCCCCTTTTCGACCGCCGCCGCGGCGGCAGGAGGCACCCGGGCCGAGGTCGAGGCGGCCTTCCTGCGGCGAGAGCGAGGCAGCGAGCTGGTGGTGCCGGCGCTGACGGAGCGCGTGCGGATGTGACCGCGCGTGCCGAGGTTGCCCGCTCGTGCAGACCGCCCTGGACTTCGCCGTTGCGCTCGCCGTCTTCGGGACTGGTTCCTGGGCGTCATGATGCTGCCACCGCGGGCCGCCCAGCATCCTCGCCGTGCCCGCCGATCTGCAGCACGGTTGCCGGCTGCGACAGGGCAGAGCCGCTGGCAGGGTGGGGCCCGTGGGCTGGCGCGGGGAGTGACCCTCTGTGAGAACTTTTCCGACGTGGTCCCCATGAGGTTGAATGTAGTCCGCGAGTTCCCAGGCTCCTTCCGTTCGCTCCACTGGATATTCCCTCGAGATAAAGCCACGCGAGCATTCGGCCGACATGGGAGGTCGGCTTCAGCGAGATCTGTTGCCGTTACCGCACCCTTCTTTCATCAGGTCCCAGATCGTCCAGCAGGGCGAGGACCCATTCTTAGCGACAAGGAGTGGGAAGGACTACACTGCAGACGGGTGGTCGCTGTCCTGACGCTGAACTGGGAGGCTTGGTTCGGCTCCCCCGAGGCTGGCCAGACCCCGTCGAGGTCGGACCTAGACCGCGCGGGAGGCAGCCCTGGCCGCTCTCGGTCGCCGCCTCCACATGGCTACACGGGCCGAGTCGGCTCTGTCACCAGTTCTCGACTGGAAGCGCGGCTGAAGGATCCATGATCGTCTGCGGCGGGAACGAGATCTCGGCGCCACATTGGCTGGCGCTGGAGCAGGGGCTGGACGAGCTGACGCTGCCGGACGTGCACGGGGCTTTCGGGGTGCCCAAGTTGCGCGGCGTGCCCGCGGTCTGCAGCGCAGGCGCCGGCCGACCCTGAGGCTGACCACCAACCTTATCCCGTCGAACACGTGCCAGGAGTGCATCGTGGGAGTCGCCCCCGAGCTCCCGACCATGATCCAGCTGAACGGCCTGGCGCTGTCCGAGTCGGAGGGTCTGCTGTGGCGCGGCGCGGGCAAGGAGGCCTTCTTCTACGCATTCGCGTGTCGCCTGCGCGGCGGCCTTAAACCGTTGTTGGCTCCGCCGCCCCCTCGGACTCGCTTGGCCTGAAGGACGGCGGGGCCGCGCGCATCTGCTTGCGGGTGGTCGGCCTGGGCTGGATCAGTTCCGCGGCCGTGACGACCCACCTCCACCGCAACCTGCTGCGGCGGAGTACCTCTGTCCCTCGCGGGCTGCCGCCCAGCGGGGAGGTCACTCGACGCCGAGGCTGCCGTTCAGCGTGGAGGATCCATGCCGTGCGGCGCGGATGGTCTACATTGACAACCTGGAGGTCGTAGAGATCGTGAGCAAGTCCGCGGCCGCGACGCTGCAGAGACGGTGCCCGAGCTCATCTCCGAGGGCCGCGCCTGCTACGCGGCTGCGGGCCCCCCGGGGTCGCCAGCCGAGGGTATCCATCAAGTGCTGTGAACGACAACCTTGGGGGTGCCCGTCGACTTGGTCGAGGGCGCTCGGCAGCCTCCACGGGCTGCCTGACCGTGATGGCCAGCCTCACGCTGTGGACGCTGCGCTTGAGACGGGCCAGGAGGCGGGCGGTGCGCATTCTGCTGGGCCGCTGAGTTCGAGTTCGCTTCTTCTTGGCGGCCGCTGGCGGCCAGCTGGGCCCTCGCCCGGAAGCGGCCCGCGAGCCCTCGCCCTGGCCTCTGGCGCCGTGATCTATGGCGACGCCTTCTCCGACCGCGGGCGCGCGCTGCCCGAGGGGTGGCGGCGACCAGCGGACGCCGCATGCGAGGAGGTGGCTGGCCTCGTGAGTGGCTTCGGCGGGATCGTCGGCGGGTGCCGGGTTTCCGAGGCCCTCGGACTGGTCCCTGCCGTGCGCCTACCGTTCGGGTTGGCCCCCCGGCGATGCGGATGGCTCGGCGCAGCTACCCCAGCTGGCAGCACCTGGGGGACGTGATGGAGGCGGACCCGGCGGCCATGGCAGCCCTGCTACGCGCCCGGGGCCGCGTGTCGTGCGTGCTGGTGGTGGGTGGCTTCCCGCGCTGGGTCTTCGCGGGTCCGACGTCGCTCGGCGGGGCCTCGACGACCCGCGGGCGGGCCTGCCGACCACATGGTGCGGGTCGAGGATATGCTGCGGCGGCCATGCCGGAGGCGTCGATCGTCTTCGTCGGGGAGAACGTCATGTCGGTGCCCGAGTGCGACGCGATGCGCCCGAACCAGCTCTTCGGCCGCACCCTGCCGGAGATCGTGGCTGGATGTCGGCTGGGTCCGACGTCCGCGGCTCCACTGGGTCTCGTGGGGCTTCCTGCCGTCGTTCGAGGCTGTACCCGTCGTGGTGCGGGCCAAGACCCAGGACGCGCGGTGCGCCTGCGGGGCGGCGCTGGAGGCGGAGCGGCCGCCGCTCGAGGAGTGGCTCCCAGCCGAGGCTGCGTGTTCAGGTCCCGCTGTGGGGCGAGCTGCTGCCGACCTTCGGGCGCTGGATGCCGTGCTCGCAGCTGCGCCCCAGGCTGGCGGGCATTGAGGAGTGCGGCACTGCGGAGCTGGCGAGCTGGGAGACGGGTGGCTTCGCTTCGCCGCCCTACCAGTTCCGTGGCAAGCGGTGCTTGCACTGGGCGGGCGACCGCGTCGAGCCGTCTGACGCCAGGATACGAGAGAAGCTGATGGTCTGCCCGGAGGGCCACACTGTGCCGTGCATGATGAGCAGCGAGGCGGAGATCGAGCCCGCCAAGTACGATGCTCTTCAACAGTCCCTCGCGGGCAACTCCTTCCAGTGCGAGGTGGTGGCCGGGATGATCGGCCACTGGGCCTTCGGTGCTGGGCGGCTGGTCTCAGTGCCCTCGCTGGGTGAGCTGCGCGCAGTGCGCGAGCGTGGGCTGGCGGCGAGATGCTGTGGGCCGGCGACGCGCCGTCGCTGCACTGGGGCCGCTCCGAGATCGACGAGGGCCTGCGCGCCATACTGGACGCGCTGGCGGTCCCATCTACGTGGGTCGTGTGTCTCGGCAGTGGGCCCTGGCTGCCTCGCAGTGAGGCAACCCCCCTTCTCGGCGATCTCCGTGAGGTCACGGGAGGGCGCTGTTGCCCTGCTCGCTGGTTGGATCCGCATACAACCAGCTCTCCTGCAGAGGTTGGTGTCGCTGCGCGGGGCCCTGCTCATCTGCCACTGTGGGACCGGCCAGGCGTGCCGTACAACATCCTCTTGACAGAGCTTGCGAGGCCTGACGTGGAGGAGTAATGCGAGCTGGACGCGTCCAGACGCATCGTCAGGAGCTCGTCATGGGGTCCCGGAATAACAGTGCGCACATCAGAACCGCTGGGGCCTGGGAGACGCTCAACGAGATCTCCCCGCGGGAAGAGTTCGCCCCAGACATTGGCCCACCAGGCAGCCACTGTGGGATGCAGCGGGTTACGTCAACGCTGTCAGGTGCCAGGGCGCGCCGATGATGTTTCCCCATGGCGAAGCGGTCAAGGCGCCGCCGCCAGCGCGTCTTCCTGCACCTGCTCGGCAGCATAGTCAACGCGGTGTGCTGTCCAAGCACCGCTTCAGCAGTCCTGTGTTCCATGGTGATGCGGACCCTCTCGGCGTGGGAGCTGGCGATCGGCGCGCAGGCGGTCTTCGGCTTCGCGCCGTCGGCTCGGAGCCCCGCGGACGCCCCCCCGCGCGTCTCCGCGATAGGGGATGCGAGTGACCCTGCTGACCGCCGCGCTGCCGGAGCTGGGCTGGAGAGACGGAGAAAACGCCAGGATGAGCGCCTCGACACTGGCGCTCAGCTTTATGTTGACTACCTTGCTGCCAATGGTCTGCCGCTGCCTTTGACGTAGAACGTTATTGCGTTTGCCGGCGCGTTTACCCTGCGCACTTGTGGGCCGGAAAGGGTGCACACATAGTCTTGCCAATGACACCCTCAGCGGCGTGCAGCACGTGCTGAGGTGAGGCGCCGCTATCCTGTGGCTTAGCAGCTGCTGACAGTCTAGAAGACTGGAGATCCCTCAGCGCGCGCCGCCGATGCCTGCCCAGCTCTGCACGGCGTTGGCGGATTAAGCGCCAGCCGCCGAACGGGTGGCTTTCGCGGCCGTGCTGCTCGTGGCCTTCCACTCTGTCTTCGCACTGGCGAGAATTTGGGGCCGTGCAGCGCATCATCTTTCTGAACCCTGTGCCCGAGGCGCGCGTCATTGCCCTGGGCCAATGCGTCCGGCCAGAAGAGCGCGCGGGAGCAGGCCACGCTCGACGACCCGCTGGCTGGCGCAGTCGCCCTCCACAGCTGCGGCGTGCGTGCCGGCTTTGGCCCTGCAACGCGCGCCTTCCTTGACTTGTTCCGTGCTTGGCTCCAGCAGATCGGCGCCTGCACCTCGCCCTGTCACTTTACAGCCTGACGCGCGGAGTACCACGCCCGTGCTACCTGCCGTCGGGAGACTTGTCTCGTGTCTGTGCGTTTTGCAGCCCGTGACCTGCTGCAACTAATCTTTCGTGACTGGTGCGAGCTGCTGCCAGAGCTGCCGTCGCCAGTCTTGATATTTCTTCGGCCTACGGCCAGAGGAAAAACACCGAATGGAGAGCTTCGAGAGTTGGCGAGCTTCATGGGCAAGGTCCTGCTGGGCTCTCAGGGGGTTCTCTTTGCTGGGCCCCCCCCAAGGCCGTCGAGCCTCCCCTGGCCCCCGAGGCCGTGGAGCGTTCTGGCCCCAGTCTTTCGGATGGTGGTCGACCCCAGTCTGCGGATGGTGGTCTGCGAATCCAGCTCTGGCCTCGGGGTGCGGTCTGTGCTCTGGCGTGGGGGGGACGGTCCGTGCAAAAGAGAGTATATATATACCTTTCGAGCTCCGTGCAGAGGCCTCTGTAGATATAAATACATATGCCCATCGGAGTTTAAGCTCTGTCAACAGCTTTGGCCGATGAAGAGGGAAAGAGTTTTCTCCTTAATTCAGTAAGCTTTCGCTCACCCCCCCCCGCCTGCCCCACACATGTATACGTTTACGGAAGATGTGTGGGCGTCGGGGGGGTAGCGTGTCACTTCGGCCGCTTTCGCTTGCATGGCAGCTGTTCTGGCCCACCCGCATAC